TAATAATAAAAGATAAGGAAAATAGTCTGGATTCTCCCCCCCCCTCTATTCATTAATCTGTCAATAATGCTCAGCTCCAGTCTATTGACAACAGATTAGCTTAGGAAGACTTGGTGTACAAAACCAATGCCTTTCATAGCCCAGCTTGTTCCAAATCAATACACCCATCAGCATTCGAAAATTAGCCCTAGATGAGATTCCAATACTCAAGCTGGCGTGTCATGCTAAGAAGGTTCCCTGCCTGCTCCCCTAGAGAGAGTAAAGGGATTACAATCTAGCCTCAACATTTGGACATCAATTCTAGCCCAAAAGTCTATCACAGCTCCAGGATTCCAACATGTCACAAACATTTCATTCTCTTTTCTTTTTCTGGTACTCATCTGCTTGCCTACAGTATGGATGGGGAAGTGGAGAGGGAGGAAAAGAATGGCTAAACTCTTTCCCCCTCCCTCTCATTTATTTAGCTGTCTTGACATCATGATTCACCTAGCTAAAAAATGTTCAAACCTTGTCTCCTGCAAGACAGCAAGGCAAGGAGGGGCTTATTGTTCCTTTTGTTTGTTAAGGTTTTTCCCATGTACCCCAAAGTGGTCCTAGGGCAACCTATGCAAAGCAAGTGTTGTTTCCCTTTGAGAAGGAGAGCCATCCCAAACATATCCAGACAATCGCAGGACAAGCACAGAAGGTTTTAACAGCTGGAAATAATCCATCTGATGCTCCAGATTTTTTAAATGTCTGTGTGTATGGCAGTAGCCACCGTATTTTGTGCAAATTACACAGATTGAGGAAGTTATACATCCATGGGTCAATATCACCAGAAAATATTCTGCCCTCTTGTAAATCGAGGTGAAAATAATTGAAATTTCTCATCCCTCCAAATACCTGCAAAGACTAGAAAGCAAAGGTTTGCACTCCTAGCTTACTCTTTCAGGATCTTTCAGCTCGTATATTTATATAACCATAATGTTCATCTAGGAGGCAACTGACTCCACACTTGACACCATTAAAATTAAGTACAAACATGGAGGGGAAAACACCATATGTGTGTGTACACATTAAAATTAAGTACAAACATGGAGGGGAAACACCAAGACTATGTGTGTGTACACATGTACTCAAGCACGCAGTGGGACCATTACTGAACCTGAACATTAACATGAGCTTTCTCTTTCTTTGGCTGCTTATTTGGTTTTCTCATGTTTGTGTTGCTAGCACAATTTCAGGTTCATTGGTTCAAATGTCAGGACTAGAAATTCTCTTCAGGTATTGAAATGAACTCTTGGACATTCTTCCCTGTATCCAGCCAGTAGTCCTGCTTGCTGCAGAGATTCTTTGGTGTGTTTGATCACACTACATCTGGGTCCTGCAACGCTAGAATCCCGTCTCTACATTTGATTTTTCCTTATATGCGACATAATCTCCAGCCTTATTCTTCAAGCCCAAGCTCCTCCTCCTTTTCCCATTTGCTCATGCTGTATCCTCCATAAAACGCTACATTTTCCTGCTTCACCATAACATCGGTCATATGAAGAAACAGTGTGTGCTGGGGACATTAAAGTGAAAGAAGGATGAATCAGGAGGAAGCCAAGCCTGAGCAAAACTAAGAACAGAAAATGGTGTCAGACCATGCGTACACCTAGACCAGTATTGTTAACAGTGACCATCAAGAGCCCTGCAAGATTTCAGACAGCCGTTTCTAGCTCTACCTGGAGAAGCTGGGGAAAGACACGCATGTAAATCATGTGCCCTCTCATTGAGTCATGTTCAGGCTGAACTAAGACCATCTTCTGTCCCCTAGAATGGTGGGCTACTGTTATCTCCCAGGTTTTTCTCATAAACCCTAGCTACCATAGGTAATAATGAAGGATCATGGGAGTTGTAGTTCAAAATATCTGGGGGAGCACATTTGCTGACTCAAGGCTAGAATAAGGCATGGAAGAAACCAGCCAATTCTTTAACTGAAGGGTTCCTTATTCCACTGAACCACTGCCAAAACTGCATGCTGCTTACTAGGCCAAACAAATCATGTCCTCTCTTCTAGGGATGTAAGGGAACTAGTCAAGTTCATCCTCAGCCACATAGACTGTCTTGTCAGAATGACATACCTAGTGAAAATTTTCAACAGTTTCCTTGCCATCAGTGCAAGAACAAGAAGAGTGTTTTCCCCACCCTTGAGATTGCAGGAATTTGTGCAAAAACAAACAAACCAACAAACCTGTGTTGAAACCTAGTGTCTCCTTTCCTTGTGAAGAGCATACTAACATCAAATGCAGAAGGACTGGCTAGCTGATGAAAAAGATACAAATTCTCTATCTAATGCTTCCTATTTTTAAAAGACATCAGCTATCTTTGTTTTTTGCTACTTCAATTGTTTTTACAACATTGTTGTTGCAAATGTTGTGCACACTGAAAAACAGCAACTTATCTTTTTGCAAGCAAGTGGAGGGGAAAGTGTGTACTCTCCTCTTTCTAATCCACAAATATGAAAGAAGCAAGGATTTCTACTTCTTCGTTCTAGACTAGAGACCAGAACGAGTTCCCTCAAGGACTCACCTTGCACAATTAGATGGACTCGCGATGTCTTTGGATGATTGTCCGTCTGCACCGAGCAAGTATAGGGCCCCTCGTCGTACACATCCACATCATTTATGCGGATCGCATAATGAGTTTTGGTGTTGGCGATAAGCTCCACTCGGGGGTCTAAGCACCACTTGTCATTGCCAGCATAGAGAATGCTACTGCGGTTGAGCCAGGCCACCCGGGTCACACGGTTATCCACGATGCACCTAGAAAGAGAAGAGGGAAAGAGATGATGATCAGAGATAAAGATTTATAAAAAGTTATTTCAGGATATTTCTAACTCTTGACTTCTTCCCTTTTTAAAGCTTTGCTGCGAACAGCAGTTTCTAGGAGCCAGCCCCTCAATTCTCCCAAAGGGAAAATGTCAGCATTTTACCTGGATCTAAAGGCTGAGCTCCGGGCATCTTGCTCCATCTGAAATTTTAACCTTAACCCTCAGATCCATTTTGGAGGCTTTCCAAAAGAAAGGCTATCAATTATTTCAGAGTTACACATAGCTCGAAGCTGGTGTTGAGATACTCTTTCAGTACCCAAATACCATGTTCCTCCCGGTCGTCACTAAAGCCTCTATTCCCTTAAATTCCTCAGGCACATTCATTGGTATCAACCCATTCTAATTTCTTTGCAAGTCATGCCACTCTCCACTGAGTTTTCCACTTTTATTTTCTTTACCGAGCAAGATTTGTGTTTTTTGTTTGCAATATTCAATATTTGTTTTTTTGTTTGCAAAATTTGTAAATATCAAAAATATGTCAGCAGTAGTCCAAGCCTTCGAGAATACAGTATTCCAAGCCTTAGATAAATAAAGAAATTTCACAATTGTTGAAATTAACCAATTAAAGATTAAAATAAATAATGTTAAAAATTTATTCACTAGATAAAATGTGTGTTTTCCCCCCAAATTCTACCTGCAGCTACACACACACACAAAAAGCACTGCACAGGAGACTGCAGTCTGCAGATTGATACCTACGTGAATAGCTTCCTAACTGTCTCAGAATCTGAGTAGCCCAAAAGCCTTCTAAGATGAGGAAGAATAATCTTGGTTCGTATTTCCTGATAAAACTGGCAAGAAAACATAACAAGTTCTATTGTTTCAACTGCACCTGCACTGTAGGGACAGACCCTCTCTGACATACGGGTCTTACTATATTTCCCATCCACCAACACAGCAGAGGGAAAATACCCTGCTGTGGATAGTCCAGAAAGCCTCCATTGAACCAACAAACATACATGATGGGCGACAATCAGCTGAGTTCCACTAGGCCTGCCTTGTGACATGTCATGCAGATTGTCATCTATGGCTCACATTCAATAGCCCTTCACAAGCTGAATACTTTCTGGTTTTGCTATTGCCAAAATACAGAGGGACCATCAAGACTACCCCACTCTATGCAACCAAAACACAACATTTGTGGAGTATGAGTTCTTGTTACAAGCTGTGCAGGTCACTTGCATATCAAGGCTACAGTCAAATTCACATTTATTGGGGAGAATTTTAATTGAACTTTGGGGAACAAGAGTACACATCTGAGCCCAACAGATGGTTGTTATTCTAGGAGGAAGACCTAACCGCCCAACACTTAAAATCAATCACTCCATTAGTTATCATTCCAAATGCCTGTCCTCAGGCACAGGCAGACTCAAAGGAATTCTATCAATCAAAAATCTACCCACAAACACAAAAAATCCTTCGAGTGAATTTCAGACAAATACATTACATAGCATAATCAGGATGTCCATGAAGGTTTTATGTCACTTCCCTCCACTTAAACTGGAAGCTTGACCTGGAAGTTTCATGCTCCAGATTTGAGGTGATATACTAAATATCTGCAAATGCCAATTGTAAAATATATATCTTGAAAGCACAGCAATTTCTAGCACATCTCCCCAGTTTTTTCCCCCACTTGCATGTCAACCTCTTTGTAACTTCGTTTCATGCACGGTTTATCCGACTTGTTTAAAATTTCCCACATGTCCTTGATCCCCAAATCTTGAATGGCACAGTTAAACAGAAGTGTCGTAGGCTGCCAAGGCATCTCATTTTGGAAAGGGGAAAAAAACAAAACAAAAACCTCCCAGAAAATAATCTGGATGAGACAGGGCTCATTTTAAAGCTTGCTTCACATTTAACAACCCTTATAACTCAACAGAAGAGCTGTGTTAAAAGGCCAATGATGGGGGATAATGTCCAAGCATAAAACTTAGTCGGGCTAAAGACGTGGTATTTCTATTCTCTCTGCTGTTTGCTCCATTCCATTCAGTTTGTGTTTTATTATTATTTTTTAATACACTGGGGGTGATGAAAACTGATTCCTAAGTTGCCAACTGATTAATTGCTAAATATTACATAGATGTCACCAAACACAGTAGAGTTAATGAACCACAGGTTGGATTGCTAAAGTCAATGAGCCAAGGACTGTTCCTCCATAAAGGAAAGGGGCACTTGAGCCTTTCCGAGATGGTACAAGGTCTAGTTTAATAACACCACTTAATTGCGGCTTCAAGTTTGCAAAGCTCCCATTCATTTCATGGGAGTTCGGACCACAGACCTCGGTTGTGCTTATTATGTAGGATTACATGCCCACTAGGCACATGCTCATTTGCATAAGCACACACATACACAAACACAACCTGAGAGCTGTTAGGATTTTTGAGGAGGGTGAGAAGGGGGTTATTCAGATGATCTGCTAGGAAGAAGACGTTTTTACGTCTACATTACTTCATGGAGTATATAGGTCTGTTAATTGTAGTTAATGGTAATTACTTAATTCAGCTTTCACTTTCAAGGCAGGATTTGAAAGAACACTAGCTAAATTCCTTGCTCTAGTTTCTGTCTGGATGGGATGAGACGACACAGAATTTGAAAGCCTTGTGCAATTCCTCAACTCCAGCCAAAAGTGAGACTAAGGTTTTACCCCACACCAGATCTCTGTAATTTGCATATTATGTTTCTTTTTGAACAAGTAGATGTGTTAATCTGTTAAGAACAAAACAAAACAACAACGGAAAAAACCCAAGCGACCTTGGGTACTTTTAAAAGAAGTAAAGCGGGATAAAAAAATATATTAAATAAATAATCAATATATAAATAAAAATATTATCTGTTAAGAACAAAACAAAACAACAACGAAAAAACCCAAGCGGCCTTGGGTACTTTTTAAAGAAGTAAAGCGGGATAAAAAATATTTTAAATAAATAATAAATATATAAATAAAAATGTTGAAGACTAACTGCTACATTTTAATGTGAGTTTACATTAAAATATAGCAGTCATTAAAGTGGCACAACATTATTGCCCTCCTGTGTACTTTCATTTTGAGAACCAAAGTGCACATGTGTGTGTACGTGGGCACACATACACAGACTGAGAGGCATGCAGCATGAGGCATGCAGCATGAGCGCAGAAGGAGCGGCTGATTGTTTATAAAGATGCCAACAACTAATGTAGCATTTCAAATTCTTAAATAAAGCATTGTTTGTCCCAGTTTGGAAAAAATCATGCAGGAAATTAAAGTAGCATCCACCAACCTAGCAGGCAGAAACCAGAATTTAGGAAAGCTACGATACCCAGAATCTCGTAGAATACATGGGAACTGAAGCCCACAGAAATGTGCCCTGTGTTCTGGAAAAACCCAAGATTTCACACTACAAGGATAATCAGGGACTTAGGCTTTCCCATGTTTGCTAATAGGTTGGACTTCTCAATTTGCAACTAGCCACTGCCACCAAAAACCACTAGCTGAGGAGAAGTCTATCTCACTTGTTGTCCTGATAGGACAACCAATTAGTGTATTAAGGGTGCTTGTATACTTACTCCTTTTTTCAAGAGGTCTTTGGAGAAAGAGAGATGCACTTATCATACAATCGGGGTCTGGCATGGGGCTAAAGGGATGAGATAGTTTCTTATAATGGTGAGAAGGGTTTAAGAAAACCTTGTTCGAGCCCTCCTTTCTACCCACCCACCCCCTTCTCATGCCTGACCTTTCTGACGAAATGCAGCAGTATGAGGACCAGCAGACAATAATAAAACCAGTCCATGTTTAATCTAAGTGTCCCCTCTATAAAATGGCCATTCAAGCTATTTAGAAAGGCAACGGGGCTTAGGCAATGAATGAAGATACAGCAAAATAAATGCTTTCACCCTTCACAGCACCTAGTCACACATTTCTCCTTATCACATGGATACACTCCTCAAAATCCCAGAGATTCATGGGGCTTAAAAGCCAGGATGCCCTCCCTCGTGTGATCTTTTCCGAAGACTCCAGAGCAAAAACAAAATAAAGGAACTAGTTTTTACCCTCCTTGGAAAGCACATTAGCCCAAATTATAGTCCCAGACCTCATTTGTGCTTGATTTTCAGCAAACAAAATGTTCATGGAGAAGTTTGACTAGAGATCTTCATGGTGTCAATGGCAGGTTCTTAAGCCCCCCTCCCTTATTTTAATTGTTTCAGTTTTTCTAAACAACTTCAACATTCATGGTAAAAAGAGAGTACGTACTTATTTTAATCAAAGAAGAAATACCTAATCTGGTAGCCCTCCTGCTTAAAGCACTCTCATATGTGGTCAAGAAAAACAATCCTGCATTCATGCAGGGAAATTGCTGCATATTCACATATTTTAATTTTGAACACCAGGGATGTTGGCAAGTCTTTGGGTTTGAGTCCCAAATCCTAGTCTGAGTCTTTGATACCAAGTCTCTAGTCCCATGTCCAAGTCCCTATTAAAAACAAGTTTTCCCCAGGGGAAAAAAAAAAAGGGAAGGGTAGGTGGGGTCTGAGTTGCAAGTTGAGTCTGAGTCATTGAAACTCCTTCTCCCAAGTCAAGCCCAAGTTGAGTTACCAATGCAACTTAAGTCTAACTTGACAGCGAATCCCGCAATTCTAATCCCATCCCTGCCTAATCCTGAAATCAGATGGCCATGACTAAAGTGTCAGACACAGAGCTTGGGAAACTGTTGTTGGTTGGTCAATGCTTTCTCCTGAGATAACCAGCCTGTCAACCTGTCTGCTTCTCTAGGTTAGCAATGGCTCTAGAGCTTCTGCACCAATTTCATTCACAAGGCACAGCCTTTATAATACATGCATGCATTTGATAAACAGTCATCTTCCTCTTCCAGCTCTGGCAATAGCTCTGTGATAACATTCTTACATTAGGCATCCTTCAGTCTCGAGAGACTATGGTAACGTGCTCTGAATGGAGGA